TTGCACTTGCAGGCTCCAGTGGTCCTGAAACCCCTCCCCCCATTAGGATGAAGTTTAATAAGGACAAATGTAAAGTACTCCACTTAGGAAGGAACAATCAGTCGCACACATACAGAATGGGAAGTGACTGTCTAGGAAGGAGTACTGCAGAAAGGGATCTAGGGGACGTAGTGGACCACAACCTAAATATGAGTCAACAGTGTGACGCTGTTGCAAAAAAAGCAAACATGATTCTGGGATGCATTAACAAGAGTGTTGTGAGCAAGACATGAGAAGTCATTCTTCTGCTCTACTCTGTGCTGATTAGGCCTCAGTTGTGTCTAGTTCTGAGCACCACATTTCAAGAAAGATGTGGAGAAATTAGAAAAGGTCCAGAGAAGAGCAAGAATGATTAAAGGCCTAGAAAATATGAGCTATGAGGGAAGACTGAAAGAATTAGGCTTGTTTGGTTTAGAAACGAGAAGACAGAGCGGACATGATAGCGGTTTTCAAGTACCTAAAAGAGTGTTACAAGGAGGAAGGAGAAAAATTGTTCTCCTTGGCCTCTGAGGCTGTGTCTAGACTACATCCCTCTTTCGACAGAGGGATATAAATTAGACAGGTCAAAATTGCAAATGAAGCGGGGATTTAAAATGGCAGGCTTTTTCGAAAGAACCATGTCTAGACTGCGGTTTTACTTTCAAAATGGTGCTTTTTCGAAAGAGCACCATGACGCGATTATGCAAATGACGCATGGGATATTTAAATCCCAGCTTCATTTGCAATTTCGACATATCTAATTTACATCCCTCTGTTGAAAGAAGGATGTAGTCTAGAGACAGCCTGAGGTTAGGACAAGAAGCAATGGGCTTAAACTGCAGCAAGGGAGGTTTAGGTTGGACATTAGGAAAAACTTCCTAACTGTCAGGGTGGTTAAACACTGGAATAAGTTTCCTAGGGAGGTTGTGGAATCTCCATCACTGGAGAGATTTAAGAGCAGCTTAGATAGACACCTGTCAGGGATGGTCTAGCCCAGTGTCTCCCAATTTTATTTGGCCATGGAATCCTTTTAAACTTGAAAGAATTTTGCGGAACCCCTAATAATAGTCTAATATATGGAGCTGAAAAAGTAGACCACAAATAAGTAAGGATAATAATAAACAAATGCTAAATAAGATCACGAGATTAACACAAATGAAAATTGTTTTCAATAGAATTAATAAATGCTTAAAATATTAATTATTAGTTTTTAAAAATAATAAAATGTTATTGTAATGGAATTTTCTCACGGAACCCTTATTTTCATTTCTTGGAACCCCGGGGTTCCATGGAGCACCATTTGGGAAACACTGGTCTAGACAGTGCTTGATCCTGCTGTGAGGGCAGGGAGCTGGACTTGATGAGCTCGAGGGCCCTTCCAGTTCTAGTGTTCTATAATTTGCTGAGCCAGCCCAGCATGTACAAGATCCGGTTATCAGGGTGGTTTGATGGGAACCCTCAGATCTTGCAGGGGTGTCTCAGCAAGGCCACCTGCTGCTCCTGTCATGGCTGGTGATGCACCTGACATCAGCTTATTGACAGACAAAGCACTGGCTTGGGCATCACGTTCTGGGGAGACTCAACTCTCCACGGCTTTGAGGAATCTGTTTGTGTCTTTCCGCTCACATTCGATAACACAACCCATGCCTACTCTGCCAAAATTGCTCAGGGGTTACTCAGAGAAGGCCCTCGACCCTTTGCAGTCTTTGTGTCATCCATTTCCAGCACCCAGTCACTGACATGGTAAATCTACACCACTCTGTTCCCTGCCATTTCTGCCTAGGCCTCGCAGATGAGATTAGAGATGAACTGGTCCAATGCTGCCAGTGCACTTGCACCCTTCCATTGAGTTGTGTATCTGACTGACAGTTGACTGAGTGGTATCAAGAACACGCCCATCCCTGCCTAATGAGCCCCGTTCCCACAGCTCATCCTCTCCTGCAATTACTGGGCCCAAACCCATGCAGGTAGATTTGGCATGTAGGTTAAGAGACGAAATATCGTTGTTTGAGTGGCCTCTGCCTGTACTCTGGGCAACATGGCCACTTTGCCACTAGATGTCCCCTCAAGTCCTGTTCCACAGATAATCCAGGAAGACAGATGGGATCAGCCTCTCTGGAGATTTGACAGGACAGAACAGCAACATCAGATTCCCTGAGTAGATACACCTACGAAGCAGAGGGTATCTAGGGTTGCCAGATGGTTTCAACAAAAATACCAGACACACTCGACATTACATCACAATCTCCATTACATCTGATTTAGAAAATACCGGACATTTCTATTTTCTCATTTTGTTTCCCAAACAGAAAGCTCAAATACTGGACTGTCCGGTTCAAAACCGGACACCTGGCAACCCTAGGTGTATCCTAATCAACACGGACAACAGCCAGGCCCCCCTTCAGACAGATTGCCGGCTTGGAACCCTGTCTAACCCCGCAGTCAGCTGGACTCAGGAACATCTAATAATTTCCTGGACACTGGGTTTACTCTCACAAACCAGTGCAAGGGAAGCTCCTCCCACAGTGGTGGCAATTGAGGGAAGCTGCTGTCCTTGGGCCTGGTCTTCTAGGAGACTGCACTCCTCTGGGCTGTAATTCAAAGCCACCAGAAGACCTTGCAATTTCACCTGGCTAACTCACCCACTTCCTGAACCTGCTTGGCATCCCCTGGCTCTCCCGCCACGATACAGGGATTTCCTAGAGAGCAGAAGTGCCGTTTGGGTCTGATAAGTGTCAGCATCCAGGTCTAGTCCAATCTGGTGTTGAGAACATTAGCAGCAGTCTGGGCAAGGTCACCATTTGCTGCTCACAGCAGGCTCTGCGGGAAGATAACGCACCAATTCCGGTGAAATACAAGCACTTTGCAGAAATATAGCTGATAAAAGAAACATTGATGCCCTAGCCCCACTTACACCCCATAGATCTCCTGCCAAAGGCCAAAATCTCCTGTGGGTGAATTCACTCTGTTGGAATCTGAACTGAGGGCCCCGTGAGAACACCTTGATGAAAATCCAGTGCACAATGCTATCTGTCCTTGAGTGGATTTTGCAATTTCAAAACAATTTTCCCCCTCAGCAGTAGCAATTCAGCAGCGCAAACTTCCAAAGTGCAATTGCCACTTGCTTCTTTGCTGTCCACATGCTAGCGGGCAGGGAGGAGCTCGGCACTCAGATTCGGGAACGTGGCCTTTTGCAGCTGAAATTTTTGCAGCCGCTGGTCATGGTTTCAAACCTGAACTAGGATGTGATCCCACCAGTCAGTGCTCATTTCTCGGGCCCAGGCGCAGCTCTCCACCATCTGCAGCCACTCCAGGAATGCTCCCAACAACCTTGGATTGTTCTTCACTGTGTCCCTCAGCAAACTGTCCTCAGATAAATCCTTATGTTCCCCAATGATGCGGTTACTGCACATACAGGAGGACACTGCGTCCTGTATTTACAGCGTTTATGAGAACAGTGCAGAGGAGGGAGAACTTCGTGCTTCCTTCAGAAATGGTGGGCAGAGAAAAGTTCACCTGAGTTTGGGGGATTCAAAACCAGAAAGTGCAAAAAATGATAGGATATGGATGTTATTATGGGATGGAGAAAGTTGCATGCCGGGAACTAGCCCCATCTCCCCAAGATCCCTGGGAGAGCTGGTTCTATCCCATGGCACATTCGGAATATTTTCCCAAGGGCGTCACGGTGGACAGCGCCACACGGCGCACTGGGCTACCTGACCATAGTGCACTGTATTTTGCATTGGCACAAGCCCTACTGGTAGGTACACGCAGCTCCAATGCAAGCAGCCAAGTGTGTAGCACATGAGCAATAAACACACTTTGGCCACCGTGCACCAATGCGAATTGCACAGATCAGTTTGTAGTGTCAGCCAGCAAGGGTTACGGAGGTGCTATGAACCCACTCACCCCTCCCCGTCACACGGACACATGCAGTTACCGGGGGAGAGCACTGGAGAACAGCCCAACTGCTACCTGACCAGGGTGCAGAACAGATCTCCTGTCCCTTGCTTCCTGCCCCGCTCAGACCCTCTACAGAGGGTGCTCATGCCAGAGGCCTCCAGAAGAAGCTAAGTCTGGCAAAGAACTATTGAGGCTGGGATTAGGGCTGAAAAAAAAATGTATAAAATAGTAACAATGTGACCAATCAGGATTCCAACTTCCAGCCCCACGCTCCCTAGCAGAGTTTAACCATTAACAGGAACCGATAAGCATCAGCCAATTAAACTCTTACATCCCTGCTTGGGTTTGGGACTATTTCTTTGTTTTATCCCCAAGAAACCTGTCTGGCTAGTTCCGAAGAGCCTCATGGAGACTGGGGGGATTCCTTGCCCAGGGAGGATGTGGAGAGCTGCCTCAATAAACTCCATGGACTTCTGTTCCCTCTGGAGTCTCCCTGTCATTTGTCCTGAACCCTGAAGAGCACAGTCACAAGCCCCTATTAACTAGATTAAAAACTGTCTAACTGATAGGGCTTGATGGGGTTTGTCAATGGGGGCTTGCCAGCCAATAGGGCTGCTTCTGGTGGGGTCCGCAGGGATGGGCTCACTCACTGGTTGTAACCATAATCTGGGAGGAAATATCAGCTCAGTGCTGGCAACGTGTGCCCATGGCACAGGGTGGCAGAGTGGTAAATGATGCTGGGGGCAGGGCCACCAGACAGAGGGACCTGGCTTACGTGGGGAGCTGGGCGCCATTGAGCAACATGCCTTTGAACCCAGCAACATGCAGGGTCATGGTCCTAGGGCTGAAGAACGTTGGTCCCGTTCCTGAGTTGGGATCTGTAGCCTGGAATGTCCTGTGGCTTGTGCCCACGTGAGTGTGAAGGTCAGTGTGAGTGCACGGGGGGGCGGGGTGTAAAGAGGCCAGGTGTGCCTGTGAAAAGGGGCATGGGCTGGTGGTGAGTGCTGCAAAGGGGCAGGGTGGCGGTGTGAGTGTGAGAAGGGGGCAGGGCAGCATTTCACCTGTCCCTCTTCCCCCAGGCCTCCCTGGTGAGACATTGGCCCTGCTGCCTGCCCGGTGGCTCCATGATGAAGGAGGTGCCCGGCTGGATGGTGCCCAGGTAGGGGGGAGCCAGCACCCACCATGCCCTATGCTCTCCCTCCTCTGCACTGTGCCCTCAAGACGATGTCCCGTAAGAAGGCCTTGCTGCTGCTGCTGCTGCTGGTGCTCAGCACCCTGAGCCTGCTCATCCATCAGAGCACGCACCTGAACTGGTACAGAGCAAGGAGGGGCAGGGCTGGAGGGCTGAGGCCTTGCAGGGAGCAGAGCTAGAAGAAGGGGTGGAGCTCAGGGAGGGGTAGAGCTAGAGCAGGGGTCCCCAGCATGGTGCCCATGGGCGTCATGGGGCCCGCCGGGGCATCTAGTGACCAGGGCCGGCCCGAGCCATTCTTGTGCCCTGGGCTCCGGGCACCCAGCGCATGCACGGCCCCCGCCCTGGGCACACAGCGCGTGCATGGCCCCCGCCCCCGGGCTCCTGGCAGCCACATAAGGTTGGGGACCACTAAGCTAGAGGACGGAGCAGGGACACGTTGAGTGGGGCTGTGGGGACAGGGCTAGGGAATGGGCACAGGGGTGGCTGGGAGTAGGGCATGGATGGGTGGGATGATCCAGGGGCCAGTGGGCATGGGGCTAGGAACGGGGGCAGATGAAGTTAGGGTTTGGGAGAAGGCAGAGGGGCGTGTGGAGCTGGGACATGGAAAGGGAATGGATGGTTCCTCGTGGACTGATCAGGGCAGGGGCTCAGAGGGGTGCCAGCCTGGCCATTCCCCTTGCTCTGACCCCTACTTTCCCCAGCAGGTCCCCCAAGCCTTCTTCCCTGGGCTGCCCCCCGGCTCCCTCATCACGCCCCAAGCACACCTCGGTGGCCTTCCTGAAGACCCACAAGACCGCGGGCACCACGGTGCAGAACATCCTTTTCCGCTTCGCCGAGCAGCACAACGTGACGGTGGCGCTTCCCCACCACGCCTGCGACCACCAGTTCTGCTACCCTCGCAACTTCTCTGCCCGCTTTGTGCACCCGCACACCCTGCCGCCGCGCATCATCGCCAGCCACCTGCGCTTCCAGCGCCAGGAGCTGCGCCGCCTCATGCCCAACGACACGCTCTACGTCACCATCCTGCGCGAGCCCGTCGCCATGTTCGAGTCGCTCTTCACCTACTACAACCAGTACTGCGCCGCCTTCAAGCGGGTGCCCAACGCCTCCATGGAAGCCTTCCTGGCCAACCCACTGGCCTTCTACCGCCCCCAAGAGAAGTTCTCCATGTACGCCCACAACACCCTGCTCTACGACCTGGGCGGGGACAACGACCACAGCCCGGCCGACCCTGCCTACCTGCCCCACTTTCTCCGCCAGATGGAAGAGGTCTTCTCGCTGGTGATGATCGCCGAGTACTTCGACGAGTCGCTGGTGCTGCTGCGCCGCCTGCTGGCCTGGGACCTGGAGGACGTGCTCTATGTCAAACTCAACATGCGGGGCCCCCGGTCCAAGGGCAACATCAGTTCGGAGGCGCTGGCCGCCCATATCCGCACCTGGAACGCGCTGGACGCGCAGCTGTATGACCACTTCAACGCCACCTTCTGGCGCAAGGTGGCGGAGGCGGGGCGGGAGTGTGTGGCGGAGGAGGCACGGGCGCTGCGCCGGGCCCGTGACCAGCTGCTGCGCCGCTGCTTCGGTGGACAGCCCCAACTGCGCCCTGCCACGCAGATCAAGAACAAGGAGCTGCGGCCCTGGCAGCCCAGCTCCAAGGTGGACATTGTGGGCTACGACCTGCCCCCGGCCGTGCCAGGCTCGGGGGCACCCCCCGACGAGCGCTGCCTGAAGCTGGCCATGCCCGAGGTGCAGTACTCCCGCTACCTGCTGCGCAAGCAGAGCCTGCGGACCCGCCGCAGGGCCATGCCCCACCGCCCGCTGCCCCCCCGGGCCGTCCCGCGCCCAGTCAGGCCCCTCCCACTCCGCCACCCCGCAATGCCCAAGGCCGCCTGAGCAGCAGCTGGGACCTTAACCTGGACTGGAGACTCACACGTGGGCCTGGAGCTGTGTAGGGATCGTGGAGCCAGCTTGCTGTGCCAGCCTAGCTGCCCACCACCACCCTGGGACCAGCCATGGGGACAGCCCTTTACTGGACCCCCTCTCCCTCCTTCTGACAGGCCCACTCCCTGCCCCAGTATCCCATACCCCTTCGTGGGGGGGGCTAGATCCAAACTCAGTTCTACTGGGGCCTGACCTGGCACTGCTGGGAAGCTGCCACTTGCCCTTCCTGAGCCTGCTGCGCGTCGGTTTTGGCAAGTTCTGGATGGTTTGCCCGGGTTCTGGTTTAAAGATCTGCCTGGCACAGCCCTGGGAGTCAGACTGGGGCATCTGGGAGGGACACTCAGCTCAGCATGGAACAACAGTGTCCTTGGTCTGTGGCCAAGATGAGGACTCCTGACCCCAGCCTGTTCTCCCTAATATTCCCCCTCAGCACTGGCCCATGCTTCCCCTTAGCACCACCACTCAGCTGGGCACACAGCACTGCGTGGGAGACACGGGCCCAGCTAAACCCTGGGGAGGCAGGACTCAAACCCCTGCCCAGGCAATCGGGCAGGCCCCTCACAATATCGCCAGGGATGCAAGAGAAAGCCCCCTCCACTGGCACACAGCACCACACACCCCGTTGTGCACACAGATACCCCCCATCACTCGCAGAGCATGCTCACACCCCATCACCATGGTCAGACATCTGTCCATCGCCCAGTCCCCCCTTCGGGCCACACCCCATGTGCTTTAACCACCCATCTTGCACACAGGGCTTCATTTGTAATGGAAAGGTGCCGGGGCTCAAGCAATCTTTTACATTCAGACCTGATGCAGCAGGTCCAGAGGTGCTTGAGCTAGGAATTGCCCAGCTCAGTGGTTCCAGGCCCGAATGAAGCACTTCTGGCACCCAGGCAGTGTCACACATGCAATCACTCACCTGGCCCCTGTGCAGCCAGCCCCACACAGACGTCCCCATGGTGTGGCAAGGAGACCGTGTCCCAGCTGGGCGTGACTCCTTCCCCAGGATCCCAGAGCAGGGCACTGCCTGGGCCCTCTCCCCCCCCCCCCCCACCTTCTCCCTGGGCAGTGGGTTCCCAGGAGAGGCTGACACTGAGCAGCTGTCAGCAGGATGGGAACTTGCCTCCAATAAAAGACTCTGCGAGGTGCCTGGTCTGCTGTGGTGTCGTGGCTCATTGGGAGCAGGTGGGAAGTTCTGGGGGTGGCTCTTTGTGCCCCTGGACACCACAGGGTGTGACCCCTGACCCTCGGCAGACACTGGAGCCCTAAGCTGGCAGCAGTAGGAGGTTGTTGTCTTCCCTGTGGCAAGAGCTGGAGGTGGGGACTGTCCAGCACACACAGCATGTGTTACCCACACCTGGACCGTGGCTCAGGGACTGATACAGCTGTGTCTGGGGAGGAGAGGGCTGGTTCCTGAGGATGGTGACTGGCTCGATGGTACCAATGCGGGGCTAGACTCACTGTAGGCATGTTGCCAGGTAGAGGGGACCAGGTGCCTCATTCCCAGCCCCCCAACTTTGCTCCCCTCCAAGCAGGTCACCCAGGCTTGTGTTTGCTAGGTCAGTGTTTCTCAACTTTTTTTCTTATAAAGGACCCCTTTTTCAAAAAGAAAAATTATAAGTACCCCCAGTACCTACTGTTTTCAGACACACAACATTTTTTTCTCCATTGCAACACATTTGTTGAAACAACTTAATCGTAGCCAGGCGGGCAATGAAATGTTTGGGTGTAAGAAGTACAAAAATAATAAAGCGCTGCAAAACTTAAAACAAAAATTCAGTTTTCTCCAAATTTCAGTTGTGTTATATACACTGCCCCTCCCCCCCCAAGACTTCTCTCAAGTACCCCGAGGGTACTCGGACCACTGGTTGAGAGACACTGTGCTAGGTCTCAGCCTGGCTTCTAGCAGAACAGGGCCTCCCCTTGCCCACAAGTTCCTTTAGCCAGGGAGCTAAATGGGTTACAGAGATTTGCCCCTGTAGACAAGGGGTCAGTGTGGGGCCAGGGCTGAGGCGTTGGCAGGTGGCAGGGAGGGGGAGCTGCTGATGCCTCAGCCCTGGCTCACACTGACAGTGAAGGGGCATCTAGTGGGCAGACTGCATGCCCTCAGGGACCTGGTGCCCCCTGTCCTGCACCTCCTTATGCAGAATGTGGGGGAGGGTCCCGGAGTGGAGGACAAGGTGGGCTGAGGGCAGTATGCAGACATGTCAGCCAATAGCTCCAGGGGGCGGGAGGAGCGACCGGCAGAGATGTGGACACCCTGATGGGCAGGGCGGATGAGAACCGGCTGGATCTACTCCTCACTGAAGTCCAGCCACAGCCCCTCGAGGAATGCACTGCTCTGCAGTAGTTTCTACGCAGCTGGGGGAGGGGTTCCCATGTGCACAGGGAGCAAGACTGTCTGGATGGGTCCAAAGCTCTGATGTGGGGCAGCAGGGCAGAGGGGATGCCAGGGTGGATGGGCAGCAGGGCAAACGGGGTGCCAGACTCGTAGCATTAGCAGTGTGCCAGCCCCGTGTGTCCGGAGTCTAAGTGAACTAGCTCTGGCTGAGATACATCAGCCTACAATCTCTGCACTGATGCAGATTAAAAAGGAACCTTCCATCTCCCAGCGCAGGGGGATTTAGGCAAGTGCCAAGTCACAGGCCTGAGCCACGGGGCTGACGATTATGATCATCACAGATTTTTTACCCTCCCGAGCTTCACTCATCCTGTGCAGAGGAATAGGCAGAGACCCACACAGCGACCCCCGGAGAAGATGCGACACAGCAAAGTGCCAGAGCCCAGCCCCCAGGTGGTTGTTTTCTGCAAAAAGATTTGATCTGTCCAGATTTCCCGTGCTTTCAGCACAATAAATGGCTCCTGGCAGCAACAGGAGATCACAAATATAAATGCTACCACTGGCGCATAGCTCACATACGGAAAGGCAGCTGCCTCTGGGGCAGAGCAGAAGGGCTATTTATATAGGGATTCCTCCCCCAGCACTGAGATGCAGCCACCTCTGGAGTGGAGCGCAGGGCTGTTGAACATGCTCTTGTGACAGGGAGTGGGGAAGGACAGAGAGTTTAAGACATAAGGGGGAGTTTTCAGAGCTTGCATTGGGGCAATAGGGCCAGCACTGACTAGGAGGGAAGACTGGCCCCTTACTGAGCCCCATCCCACACCCTGCAGTACAGCGCCCCTTAGCGCCATGCTATGGCCCTGGGCTCAGCACTGCCCGTGTGCCAGGCCTGTCCTGCTTGGTCATGTCCCAGGGCTGGGCAGAGGCTGCAGCTAGTTTAGGCCCTGGCAGCCAGTCCCCGCCAACTATAGCTGCAGAGATTAATCTTGCCATGCAGAGGTGCTGCGGGTGTGGGGCTCCTGAAGAGGGTGGGGGCAGGGCGGAAAAAGCAAGGGTCTATGCACTGGGCCCAGCGCCCCTCTGCTCCCCCTCCCCTGCAGCTGGGGCTGAGACTCTGCAGTGGCGGGGGCAACCGACTTTGCAATGGGATTTTCTCACTAATCCCCGGCAGCCTCCTTTGATTGGCTCTGTCCCACAGCTCAGTGCCTAACTGACGGACACAGCAACTGCCCCCCCACCACCATCGGAGCCAGGTGGCCCCCCGAGCTGACTCCAGGGAGACATCCGGGGATGAGCTGTCCCCCGCCCGGGCAGGGGCAGACCCGCAAGCAGCAACTGAGAAGGTACTGGCACTGCCCCATCTCCCCGCATAGGGACTGGCACTGCCCCCACCCCCCTCCACAGAAACCAGCACAGCCCCCACCCC